GATAAGTGTCCAACAACTGAGCTTCATTTCTGTGAGACTTATAAACTATTCTTTTATTATTAAATCAATACAGTGAACAGTTACCATATCTCTTATGACATTATCTGACATCTCCAAAACCTGTTTCATTAGGCCCCTTAAATGACACATTAAATAAATAGAAGAAAATTATGTTTTGAGAGCCACATTCTTCTTCTTCTTCTTCAGGATTCCGAGTCCTTGAGGTTCATTGCTGCAGATATCACCCGCCTCCATTCATCTCTCTGGTTGGCCTTCTCTTTCCTGTAGGTAACACCAAGTGTTTGCAGGTCTGTCTGGATATTATCTCTCCATCGTTTTCTTGGTCTCCCTCGTGGTCTACAACCATTCATCTCCCTGGTGTATACAGTTTTTACTTCTCTGTCATCTGACATTCTTTTAATATGCCCCAACCACATTGTGAGTAAATTATTTCTAGTACACACTTTACTAAGTTTTCATTCTTTCAGTATTGTTTTATAACTTTTACCATTTATTTATAACTATAGTTTTCTTAAGTGAGCATCTGATGCAGAAGAAAATATATGGGTACACAGGGGTATGAAATGTAAGTCACACATGAATACTTTAGCCAAGTAATTGAGTGTTTCTCTATTTTCTGTTATTGTAAGTCACACAGGAATACTTCAGCCGAGTAATTGAGTATGTTTCTCTATTTTCTGTTATTGTAAGTCAAACAGGAATACTTCAGCCAAGTAATTGAGTATGTTTCTCTATTTCCTGTTATGCCAAAATGATTTGAAACAGTGGTTGTATATTCCCAGGGACATAAATGCATTTGTCACAGTTACTGACTCCTACATTCCATATATGTCACAGTTACTGACTCCTACATTCCATATATGCCACAGTTACTGACTCCTACATTCCATATATGCCACAGTTACTGACTCCTACATTCCATATATGTCACAGTTACTGACTCCTACATTCCATATATGTCACAGTTACTGACTCCTACATTCCATATATGTCACAGTTACTGACTCCTACATTCCATATATGTCACAGTTACTGACTCCTACATTCCATATATGTCACAGTTACTGACTCCTACATTCCATATGTGTCACAGTTACTGACTCCTACATTCCATATATGTCACAGTTACTGACTCCTACATTCCATATATGTCACAGTTACTGACTCCTACATTCCATATATGTCACAGTTACTGACTCCTACATTCCATATATGTCACAGTTACTGACTCCTACATCCCATATATGTCACAGTTACTGACTCCTACATTCCCCATATGTCACAGTTACTGACTCCTACATTCCCCATATGTCACAGTTACTGACTCCTACATTCCCCATATGTCACAGTTACTGACTCCTACATTCCCCATATGTCACAGTTACCGGTTCCTACATTCCCCATATGTCACAGTTACTGACTCCTACATTCCCCATATGTCACATTTACTGACTCCTACACACCCCATATGTCACAGTTACCGGTTCCTACATTCCCCATATGTCCACAGTTATTGGTTGGTTCCTACATTCCCCATCTGTCCACAGTTACTGGTTCCTACATTCCCCATGTGTCACAGTTACTGGTTCCTACATTCCCCATCTGTCCACAGTTACTGGTTCCTACATTCCCCATCTGTCCACAGTTACTGGTTCCTACATTCCCCATCTGTCCACAGTTACTGGTTCCTACATTCCCCATCTGTCCACAGTTACAGGTTCCTACATTCCCCATCTGTCCACAGTTACAGGTTCCTACATTCCCCATGTGTCACAGTTACTGGTTCCTACATTCCCCATCTGTCCACAGTTACTGGTTCCTACATTCCCCATCTGTCCACAGTTACTGGTTCCTACATTCCCCATCTGTCCACAGTTACTGGTTCCTACATTCCCCATCTGTCCACAGTTACAGGTTCCTACATTCCCCATCTGTCCACAGTTACAGGTTCCTACATTCCCCATCTGTCCACAGTTACAGGTTCCTACATTCCCCATATGTCACAGTTACTGGTTCCTACATTCCCCATATGTCACAGTTACTGGTTCCTACATTCCCCATCTGTCCACAGTTACTGGTTCCTACATTCCCCATATGTCCACAGTTACTGGTTCCTACATTCCCCATATGTCACAGTTACTGGTTCCTACATTCCCCATGTGTCACAGTTACTGGTTCCTACATTCCCCATGTGTCACAGTTACTGGTTCCTGCATTCCCCATTTGTCACAGTTACTGACTCCTACACTCCCCATATGTCACAGTTACCGGTTCCTACATTCCCCATATGTCACAATTACTGGTTGGTTCCTACATTCCCCATCTGTCCACAGTTACTGGTTCCTACATTCCCAATGTGTCCACAGTTACTGGTTCCTATATTCCCCATGTGTCACAGTTACTGGTTCCTACATTCCCCATATGTCCACAGTTACTGGTTCCTACATTCCCCATGTGTCACAGTTACTGGTTCCTACATTCCCCATGTGTCACAGTTACTGGTTCCTACATTCCCCATGTGTCACAGTTACTGGTTCCTGCATTCCCCATATGTCACAGTTACTGGTTCCTACATTCCCCATGTGTCACAGTTACTGGTTCCTACATTCCCCATGTGTCACAGTTACTGGTTCCTATATTCCCCATATGTCACAGTTACTGGTTCCTATATTCCCCATGTGTCACAGTTACTGGTTCCTACATTCCCCATGTGTCACAGTTACTGGTTCCTGCATTCCCCATTTGTCACAGTTACTGACTCCTACACTCCCCATATGTCACAGTTACCGGTTCCTACATTCCCCATATGTCACAATTACTGGTTGGTTCCTACATTCCCCATCTGTCCACAGTTACTGGTTCCTACATTCCCAATGTGTCCACAGTTACTGGTTCCTATATTCCCCATGTGTCACAGTTACTGGTTCCTACATTCCCCATGTGGTACTTGCAGAAATTACACATTATCCCTTATGTTGTACTAGCAGAAATTATTATAATATTCTACATGAAGTACGTGTATGAAGTGTACAATATTCCTCATGTGGTATGTGAAGAAAATGTACATTTCGCATGTGGTACTTGTAGAAAGTACAATATTCCCCATGTGGTATTTGCAGAATGCAGAAACTGGTATAATATTCCCCATGTGGTCCTTGTAAAAACTGGTACAATTTACCCCATGTGGTACTTGTAGAAATTAGTACAATATTCCTCATGTGATATGTGTAGATATTAATACAATATTCCCCATATGGTACTTGTAGAAATTGGTACATTCCCCATATGGTACATGTGTAGAAACTGGTACAATTATCACCATGTGGTATGTGTAGAAATTAGTACAATATTCCCCATGTAGTACGGATAGAAATTAGAACAATGCTCCACATGTGGTACTTGTAGAAACTGGTAGAATATTCCCAATGTGGTACTTGTAGAAATTAGTACAATATACCCCATGTAGTACTTGTAGAAATTAGTATAATATTTCCTAAGTGGTACTTGTAGAAATTAGTACATTTCCCATGTTGTACTTGAAGAAATTAGTACAATTTTCCCCATGTGGTATACACACTCTCATACAGACTGTTCCCTGTTCAACAACAGCGTCCCCCTGACTTGAACGGATGTACAACACAAACAAGCAAGCAGACAGCCAAACTTTCCACAATCGTTCTGTCTTCACCACCAAAACATTTACCTTTTGTTCCTGAATGGACACCTTTCCAGTTGTTGTAATAATCCTTGAAAATAGTCATAAGAAATAGTAGAAACGTCAAATTTTGCTTGATATAATTTCTCGCAATATGGATTCAATCAACAATATGGCATTTAAAAAAATATAACTGCTGCATGCCACTGCGATGTGTAAATCTAAGCACCAATCATGTCCTGGGGGCCACCACAATTTTGGTGCCTGCCACAGTCCGGCCGTCACATGCTGCCTGCGTTGTGTAGATAATCTAAGTACCATTCACGTCATAGGGGCCCTGCTCAATCTGGCCGTCACATGCTGCCTGCGATGCTGCCACACAAACATGGCCAGGAGAGCGTTGAAAAATGGGCAAGTTAGTCCATAACCCACATGGGTCAATGTACAAAATCACAGCTTTGTTGAAATATTACAAATTGTGGCTGAGATGAGCCAAGGGGTTCAACTACAGATACAATTAAAAAGAAAAAGAAAAAGTCTAATTACTAGACAGTTTTACAGAATGGGTTGTAACACATGCTCCCATCATTCTGCTTTAACCGAACAACGTCGTTCGCTGGCTGATTTTAAGTAACTGTACTAGATATAGTTTTGTAAATATTTTACTCAAGAATGGTCCGGTGCATTATAGCATGGACCATGGCTACTATTCTGTACCTGTTAAAGTTTAAGAAAAAAAAGAGAGAGATATATATATATATAGCCCCGAATGTGAACATATGCAAGGAATATTTTAATATTTAGTTCTAATCTCTGAGTAAATCAAACGCTAACTATCTGAATGACCAATGTTTTGATGCCATTGACAGCTGAGGATAATATAAGTGCCCTCACACTCATTCACTGAACAACATCAAAAGTAAATATAAAGTTACTTCTTTAAAAAAAATTTTTTTTTTTATAAATTACATTTTTGGTTTGCTATTTGTTTAAGTTTTTCTGAACATTCCAATACCTATAGTACAGTACTATAACAAACAGACAACATAAACAGTATTATCATGACAATAGTTTCACGTATATGGCACCAAGAGTTATATCCTAGTATGTCCCAGCATAAAGACCCACCTGCAGCCTCTCAGAGCAGGCCAATGAGAGGTTTATGCAGGCTGGGTCGTTACTGTGGTGATGAAGATCATGATGTCCAGCCAGGGGCCAGACATGTCCACAAAGTTCAGCTAGTGACTTTGTAATGTATGAAAGAAAAACTGGTGTAAACAATACAGACATCCTAGAGTTTGCCTGTAGACGGGGCATGCCAAGATCAAAGGTTTGACAGCCCAGAAGAGACACCGGAATCATCGGAAAAGTTGTTACTATAGCGACGGCAGCGTTCAACACCTCCATCGCTTGCCAGGCTCCCCACACTCAGTCGGTCATCGCTGTCACTCTGGAAGCCACCAATGATGTCAATCTCATCTAGAAACAAATAAAAACAGGAACTTATTTCCATTGGATCTAGAAAACAAATTAGAAAAAAGGAACTTATTTCCATCTGATCTAGAAAACAAATAAAAACTTATCACATTGATTTTCCTTAGAAAGTAAATAGAAACTCAGATTTGATTGCTTCTCCAAGGTAAACTGAAAATCAACTTGATCTTTTATTTAGGAGGAGGAAAAATAAAAACTACATAAACTCATTATGATGCTGTAAAGGGCCCTTTTCTTGTTAGAATATTTTCTAATTCTGACCCTTTTCTTACATTAAATTCTTTCTACACCAACATAGGGATGCTACTTTGGGATGTGGTGTGGAGAAACATTTCTACACCAACATAGGGATGCTACTTTGGGATGTTAAAAAAAAAAGGTAAAGGTCCCTTATTCACGCCTTTCGGCATTTAGGGCATATAGGGTTAGACCTATATTATTACAGATCAACTGGAACAAGATGGGTGATGTGGTCAGCATCACGCCGGCCGCCTTTACTTCCTTGGACTGCACCCGATACTCACTCAGGGCTGGGTAGACCTGGAAGTCTAGGTCATAACTGAAAAAAAGTCTTGTCTCCCCCAGGAAGTGAACCCATGACCTTCCGATCCCCATGCGAGCGTCTAGCCACTATGCCACGGCAACTCCCACTTTGGTATGTGGCCTGTAGAAACATCTCTACACCTACATGTTAATGATACTTTGGTATGTGGCCTGTAGAAACATCTCTACACCTACATGTTAATGATACTTTGGTATGTGGCCTGTAGAAACATCTCTACACCTACATGTTAATGATACTTTGGTATGTGGCCTGTAGAAACATCTCTACACCTACATGTTAATGATACTTTGGTATGTGGCCTGTAGAAACATCTCTACACCTACATGTTAATGATACTTTGGTATGTGGCCTGTAGAAACATCTCTACACCTACATGTTAATGATACTTTGGTATGTGGCCTGTAGAAACATGTCTACACCTACATGTTAATGATACTTTGGTATGTGGCCTGTAGAAACATGTCTACACCTACATGTTAATGATACTTTGGTATGTGGCCTGTAGAAACATCTCTACACCTACATGTTAATGATACTTTGGTATGTGGCCTCTAGAAACATCTCTACACCTACATGTTAATGATACTTTGGTATGTGGCCTGTAGAAACATCTCTACACCTACATGTTAATGATACTTTGGTATGTGGCCTGTAGAAACATCTCTACACCAACATGTTAATGATACTTTGGTATGTGGCCTGTAGAAACATCCCTACACCTACATGTTAATGATACGTTGGTATGTGGCCTGAAGAAACATCTCTACACCAACATGTTAATGATACTTTGGTATGTGGCCTGTAGAAACATCTCTACACCTACATGTTAATGATACTTTGGTATGTGGCCTGTAGAAACATCCCTACACCAACATGTTAATGATACTTTGGTATGTGGCCTGTAGAAACATCTCTACGCCTACATGTTAATGATACTTTGGTATGTGGCCTGTAGAAACATCCCTACACCTACATGTTAATGATACTTTGGTATGTGGCCTGTAGAAACATCCCTACACCTACATGTTAATGATACGTTGGTATGTGGCCTGTAGAAACATCCCTACACCTACATGTTAATGATACGTTGGTATGTGGCCTGTAGAAACATCTCTACACCAACATGTTAATGATACTTTGGTATGTGGCCTGTAGAAACATCTCTACACCAACATGTTAATGATACGTTGGTATGTGGCCTGTAGAAACATCTCTACACCAACATGTTAATGATACTTTGGTATGTGGCCTGTAGAAACATCTCTACACCAACATGTTAATGATACGTTGGTATGTGGCCTGAAGAAACATCTCTACACCAACATGTTAATGATACTTTGGTATGTGGCCTGTAGAAACATCTCTACACCTACATGTTAATGATACTTTGGTATGTGGCCTGTAGAAACATCTCTACACCAACATGTTAATGATACTTTGGTATGTGGCCTGTAGAAACATCTCTACACCAACATGTTAATGATACTTTGGTATGTGGCCTGTAGAAACATCTCTACACCAACATGTTAATGATACGTTGGTATGTGGCCTGAAGAAACATCTCTACACCAACATGTTAATGATACTTTGGTATGTGGCCTGAAGAAACATCTCTACACCAACATGTTAATGATACTTTGGTATGTGGCCTGTAGAAACATCTCTACACCAACATGTTAATGATACGTTGGTATGTGGCCTGTAGAAACATCTCTACACCTACATGTTAATGATACGTTGGTATGTGGCCTGTAGAAACATCTCTACACCAACATGTTAATGATACTTTGGTATGTGGCCTGTAGAAACATCTCTACACCTACATGTTAATGATACTTTAGTATGTGGCCTGTAGAAACATCTCTACACCTACATGTTAATGATACTTTGGTATGTGGCCTGTAGAAACATCTCTACACCTACATGTTAATGATACTTTGGTATGTGGCCTGTAGAAACATCTCTACACCAACATGTTAATGATACTTTGGTATGTGGCCTGTAGAAACATCCCTACACCTACATGTTAATGATACGTTGGTATGTGGCCTGTAGAAACATCTCTACACCTACATGTTAATGATACTTTGGTATGTGGCCTGAAGAAACATCTCTACACCAACATGTTAATGATACTTTGGTATGTGGCCTGTAGAAACATCTCTACACCTACATGTTAATGATACTTTGGTATGTGGCCTGTAGAAACATCCCTACACCAACATGTTAATGATACTTTGGTATGTGGCCTGTAGAAACATCTCTACGCCTACATGTTAATGATACTTTGGTATGTGGCCTGTAGAAACATCCCTACACCTACATGTTAATGATACTTTGGTATGTGGCCTGTAGAAACATCCCTACACCTACATGTTAATGATACGTTGGTATGTGGCCTGTAGAAACATCCCTACACCTACATGTTAATGATACGTTGGTATGTGGCCTGTAGAAACATCTCTACACCAACATGTTAATGATACTTTGGTATGTGGCCTGTAGAAACATCTCTACACCAACATGTTAATGATACGTTGGTATGTGGCCTGTAGAAACATCTCTACACCAACATGTTAATGATACTTTGGTATGTGGCCTGTAGAAACATCTCTACACCAACATGTTAATGATACGTTGGTATGTGGCCTGAAGAAACATCTCTACACCAACATGTTAATGATACTTTGGTATGTGGCCTGTAGAAACATCTCTACACCTACATGTTAATGATACTTTGGTATGTGGCCTGTAGAAACATCTCTACACCAACATGTTAATGATACTTTGGTATGTGGCCTGTAGAAACATCTCTACACCAACATGTTAATGATACTTTGGTATGTGGCCTGTAGAAACATCTCTACACCAACATGTTAATGATACGTTGGTATGTGGCCTGAAGAAACATCTCTACACCAACATGTTAATGATACTTTGGTATGTGGCCTGAAGAAACATCTCTACACCAACATGTTAATGATACTTTGGTATGTGGCCTGTAGAAACATCTCTACACCAACATGTTAATGATACGTTGGTATGTGGCCTGTAGAAACATCTCTACACCTACATGTTAATGATACGTTGGTATGTGGCCTGTAGAAACATCCCTACACCTACATGTTAATGATACTTTGGTATGTGGCCTGTAGAAACATCCCTACACCAACATGTTAATGATACTTTGGTATGTGGCCTGATACTTTGGTATGTGGCCTGTAGAAACATCTCTACGCCAACATGTTAATGATACGTTGGTATGTGGCCTGTAGAAACATCTCTACACCAACATGTTAATGATACGTTGGTATGTGGCCTGTAGAAACATCTCTACACCAACATGTTAATGATACTTTGGTATGTGGCCTGTAGAAACATCTCTACACCAACATGTTAATGATACGTTGGTATGTGGCCTGTAGAAACATCCCTACACCAACATGTTAATGATACTTTGGTATGTGGCCTGTAGAAACATCTCTACGCCAACATGTTAATGATACGTTGGTATGTGGCCTGTAGAAACATCTCTACACCAACATGTTAATGATACTTTGGTATGTGGCCTGTAGAAACATCTCTACACCAACATGTTAATGATACGTTGGTATGTGGCCTGTAGAAACATCTCTACACCAACATGTTAATGATACTTTGGTATGTGGCCTGTAGAAACATCCCTACACCTACATGTTAATGATACTTTGGTATGTGGCCTGTAGAAACATCCCTACACCTACATGTTAATGATACTTTGGTATGTGGCCTGTAGAAACATCCCTACACCTACATGTTAATGATACTTTGGTATGTGGCCTGTAGAAACATCTCTACACCAACATGTTAATGATACGTTGGTATGTGGCCTGTAGAAACATCCCTACACCAACATGTTAATGATACTTTGGTATGGGGTTGGAAGAAAATTTCTACAACTACACTGTTTTTTACTTTTCCTGATTTTCATGCCAGGAAAGCTTATTTTTCTCTTTGCATTTTTATGTTGACTTATTTTTATGTTCACTCATTTTTGTTCCCATAAATAAATGTAAAACTCAACATCTCTTAAAGTGAAGTTTCAGGAAGACAGGGGTCAGGTTATCATTTGCTTGGCATTCTCACTATATTTATTTTCCCCCATGTGAAATTTTGACACACCGGATAGGAAATCAAAGAAATCCCATCACCTCTTTTCTTCTGTTCTTTATTCTCTCCCCCCCCCCCCCCCCACATACACTCATGCACTGGCCTAAAAACAGCACACAAGCAGCCTTATCTTTTGCTTTGTTGCTGTTTTTACCTTGCCAATGCGTCTCATAATTTCTTTGTGTAAAGAACTCTAGAAGCACTAAAAAAAACAATGTACAAAACTAATATATATATTAGGCTGAGATATGTCAGAAAAAATACAGAACTCTGCATGCTACATGAGTGCGTTCTAAAAGTTCCACCAGATTTAACATCATCATCCCCATCATGTGCCATTCTGACAAAAGTGAGCAGTCATTGTTTGCCATCACTAACTTACTAAACAAGTCCGTAGTTTAGGAACAATCTTCAAACTCACCAGATTCTTCAGATTTAATAGACGAAGTCGAAGACATTGACGACGAGGACAGATTGGTTGAAGTACTACACTCGCTGATACTGCGCTCCTGGCGTACACGGTATAAACTGTGACTGTGGCTATTCTCTTGACTGAGCTGGTTGAGCCGGTTGAGCTGCTCCAACCTGCGCCGCAAATGTCTGTTCTCACACTCCAACTGATCCCGTAGCAGCATTGCCTTGCGCTCTTTCTCTTCTAAATTCTGTAAAAACAATAATGCTTCATTTCAATAACAACTTTCAATTCTGTGAAAACATTGATGCTTCATTTCAATAACAACAAATTCTGTGAAAACATTAATGCTTTGTTTTCAATTACAAATTTAAATTCTGTCTTATTTATCTTCGATCCTGTCAGAAAACATATATCAGGAGGCGGGTAGCCTTTATTAAAGCTAGCATGCAGACTATATCTTCTTGTGTACCATGCAGTTTTGTCTTCAATGTGGTAGGAACAGGCCAGATTGTGTCTATGTTGTCAGCATACCGTTGACAATGTTGGAAGTTCTGTGAAAACATTATTACTTCATTACCAACAATATCTAAATTCTGCAAAAAAACATTAGTCAGGTCTGGCTGCATTCTCACTAGATGGCTGAACAATTTCATTCTTTTTCTGTCAATAAAATCCAGACATGGTCTTGTTCCAACTTTCTCTCTAATGCCTGCATTTGTAACCCTGTCTATTCTTGTGTTGTTAGAGACCTTTGGGAGACGGCACATTTCATATGTAGTTATTTTCTCTTCTAGTGACCTACTATGCTTCTAACAATCACAATGCAAGATTCAAAACATATTTGACATTGGAACAATAAAGAAAGCCCCTGCTATTTTAATGCAACACAAATGTGTTCAAGTGTCTAGAATGTAAACAATTCAAAATGTATACCTCTACTTCTCTAAATACCTGGCCCCCAAAAAAAGTCTTTAAAAAAAAAAAAAACTCCCATTAAAAAAAAAAAGTGCTATATATTACTTTGAGACTGACAATGAAACTAAACAAAACTTCAACAGGTGAAGATGTTAGACAAGCTACAAATGGACCCCAGAACCAACACCTGAAGACCCAAGTGACACTGATTTATTAGTGACAGGCCTAGTCTGCAAAAGGCTATTTAAAGAAAAATGCATACATCTGCACACAATTAACTTGAAAGGGAATCTTGTTTTAGAGAGACAAGTCTACTTTCTTTCTTTATGTTCACAGATTATAAACTTGTACAAAATACTGGTTGTTCTTCGACTTCTGGACTTGTTTAAAAACCTGAGTTTTGCATGCTAAAGAAGAAACAGTGTTCCCACCCCCACACCCCATCCCTCTTGAAAAAATAGAGGCAGGCAAGTGTTACTTACTACCTCCATCATCGTCACCATACAAAAGACACTGCCACAAAAACACAAACTGCTGAGACTAAAAATGCCACATGGAGAAGGGAGCTAGAGAGGGAAGTTAAAAAGATGGGGAAAACATGGGAAGAGCTCCATGTGATAGCGAAGAATAGAACAACCTGACGTCAGTTGGCTGAGAGCCTATGCTCCATCAGAGGGTTAGAAAGGCAGAAGAAGAAGAAAAACAAAACTGGCAAAGAAGTTACATCCATCATTTTGTGTTTTTTAATGAACAGAAAACATTGCAAATGATGAAAAATATGAAACCAGGTATGCTAATGCACCTAAATCTGCAGTGTCAGACTGTACCCACTCCTGTGCCACCTGCAATAAGCATTTAAAAATACAAAAGTTGTCCCCAAATGGTGCAGCACTCCACACAAGTATGTGCCAAACCGTGGCGGGAACATTGAAAAATAATTAGGGATTTTAAAATGTTTTGAAAACATGCATCTGCCAACCATAAATGAGAAGATAATTGTCTTATTTAGTTCCAAGATGTTACTTCCTACGCTAAGAAAACTGCACTGGTAGGAATATTTTCAATTTGTTTTCAAAAGTGTTTCGTCGACTGAAGAAGTTGGAATGGAGCCAGCAAACTGTTTCTCTAAGAGTGATTTTGTACATTGACCCATGTGGGTTAGTTAAGGACTAACTTGCCCATTTTTTAACTCTCCCTTCGCCATGTTTGTGTGGCAGCATCGCAGGCGGCATGTGGCGCCCAGATTGAGCTGGGCTCCCAGATTTGAAGAAAAAAAAAACACCACACAAAAACTAGTAATTATCAGTTTTGGTGAGATAAAACTAAACAGAGAAATGTGTGCAACTACACGGTGCGTGTTTTGAATGACTATACATATGCTAATTTGAGATTACATTTTGAGTTGTGGAATGTAATTGTAATAATAATTGAAATATATGACTTGCCAGGCTCACAATTTTATACAGACCAATTTTAAGTTGATGGGCGATGTTGTCAACATTTTTCTACATTGGATGCCTTTATTTGCTGAGACATTTCATAATAATTTTTTCAATCTGGGTCAACATTTTACCAAATTGGATGTCTTTATTTACCAAGACATATTATGGTTATCTTTTCAACCTTTGTCAACATTTGACTAAATTGGATGTCTTTATTTACCAAGACATATTATAGTTATCTTTTCAATCTTTGTCAACATTTGACTAAATTGGATGCCTTTATTTACCGAGACATTTCATGGCTTTTTGTTTTAATCTAAAAGCCAATCTAATGCTTTTTTTTTTAAAACTGACCAGTGGGGATTATTCTATTTCAATGAACAAAAGGGAAAACCAAAATGGGAGTGATAGAATACTTACAAGAACCTGATTACACTTAATGGAGGGTATTGTTGCAGTAAATGTTAATTAGCAAGTTTCTTCCTTTTTTTTTTTAGAAGTCAGAATACATCTGCCTGTTGAAGTAAGGAACCAACAGTCTGCATACACATAAGCAAGATTGGTAAAACGGATGTGCACACAACACTCAGGTTCTGGAACATGACTAAAGTCCAGAGGCGGACGAACAACCAGAACTTTGCGCTGGAGTTTAAAGCCAGTGAATGCGAAAAATAAGAAGAAGAAGAAATAGAAGAAGAAGAAGAAGAAGAAGAAGAAGAAGAAGAAGAAGAAGAAGAAGAAGAAGAAGCAGGAGAAGAAGAAGAAGAGGAAGAAATGGATGTGCACACAAAACTCAAGTTCTAAAAAAGATCAAAGTCCTGAAGCGGAAGAATAACCAGGACTTTCTGATAAAGTTTACTTTTCAGCTGGTGAAAAAGAAAAATTGAATACAATAAGAACTTATTTGTGGCATTCGTAGACCAGGAGAAGGCATTTGACAGAGTCGACAGACAATTATTATGGAAAATAATGTCAAGATATGGAGTAAGCGAACACCTCATCGAAGTGTGCAAAAGTTTATACAGGGATTGTAGAAGTGTAGTTAGAATAAATCAGGGAACATCTCATCCTTTCACAGTGACATCTGGAGTAAGACAGGGATGTGTCTTATCACCACTGCTGTTTATCACCTACATCGACAGTATATGCAAGAATGCCAAGCCTATGAATGAAGATCTTAGTAAGATCAACGAATTACTCTTTGCAGATGACCAGGCCTTGATAGCAGATACAGCCATGAAATTGCAACAACATCTAACATCCATGAATGAAGAATGTAAAACAAATAATATGAAAATCAACACTGAAAAGACAGAAGTAATGTCAATAGGAAAAAAGAAGACAGATCTAAACATAACAATAGAATACAAAGGCATTAAACAGGCATCTGAGTTTAAATATCTGGGAACTACATTTACCGAAGATGGGAAATTGGATAAAGAAATTGACATTAGATGCAGTAAAGCAAACCAAGTATTGGGACAGCTAGCCCCCCTCTTACAGCATAAGACAATCCCAGTCAGCACAAAGAGACATCTTATTCAAAGCATATTTATTCCAACTCTGTGCTACCAGTGCCAGACATGGTCACTCACAACAAACCATAAAAGAAAATTAGTAACCACGGAAATGAGATGTCTGAGAAGGGCTGTAGGAGTGACCATAAGAGATAAGATCAGAAATGAGATCATAAGAGAACAAGTAGGCACAGAACCAATTCTGGATTACATACAAAGACAGCAAGTAAAATGGTTTGCCCACTTAGAGAGAATGCCTTGTGACACCATACCATACAAAGCATACATGGGAAGAGAAGAAGGACGTAGAGCACGGGGTAGACCAAAAACAAGATGGAAGGATAACATCAGAGAAACTCTACAACAGCACGATGTGCCTATGGTCGAGGCAGCCAGAAGAGCTAGAAACAGAACCTTATATCTCCCTCGACACCCACAGCGGTAAAAGAGGAAGTGAAGAAGAAGAAGAAGAAGAAGAAAAAGAAAAGAAGCAAATCCACATAAAGAGGAGGATCTGCCAGAAAAATAAATAAGCACCCCCATTTTCTCGTTGTTTTTTCTTTGGCTTTAGGTAACATCATGCTTTTACGTTTTGTTTAGCATTTATTTATTTTTTTTTATTTGCCGATGAAAGCTTTTGTGTGTAATGTCCTCACTGATTAGTAATTTTAATCATGTAAATCTGACCTTCTCATCTTTTTATTTCTCCTGCTATTGATTGCAAAATTTAGAAACTCCTTTCCACTTGTCATTTTTCTTAACATCTTTATCACAGTCAAAACAACATTATATGGACTGGGCGTTATCAAGCAGACTACTCGGGCACTGACATAAAAAGGTGTAAATATATTCTCATACATAAGTACATATAAAATGTGTAATGATTAAAGAAGCACAAACCTTAATGAAAGACCTAGCTTTTGTTAAAAGACCTAGTGTTGTATGACGTGATGAATCTACTCCAAGAGGGACAAGATCTTTTAATCGCTCCAAACAATGCCTCAAGTGAGCTCTTCTGCAAAGAAGATAAAAAAATATATAGTGCATCAGAAATTATGTAAAATCATACATAGCTACTGATTAAATAATAGAACCATAAGTAGAAAAGGTATGCACTGTTCTGATTAATCCAACAAGCTGTCGGTGTTTGTCAATAAATCTGTTTGTGTGCACCCAGCCTAAAGTTTTTAAAAGTTGTCTTGTGTTCTATTTGTTATCCTGAAGATGTTTTCTTGGTTCTAAAAGTTGTTCTGCTTCTGAAGTTGTCTGCCCATTTCCACTACCTATGTTCCATTTGTTGTATGTATACCATGTTCCTAAAATTATCTGTAAATGGTGTTCCTAAGGCTGTCTACAAACTGTGTTCTTAAAGCTATCTGTAAATTGTGTTCCCACAGTTGTCTGCAATCTCTCAACATTCTTAGAGCTGCATGCACACTGTTTTCCTAAAACTGCCTGAAAACTGTGTTCCCAAAGTTGTCTGCAATCTCCTACATTCCTAAAGAGTTGTCTTTGCATGCTATGTACCTAAAGTTGAATGTAAACTTGTGGAGTCCCTAAAGTTGTCTGCATATATACTGTCTTCCTAAAGTTGTTTGCATATGATTATGTTTGTAAAATTGTCAAGACAAGGTGTTCCTAAAGTGAGTCATCTGAGCATGGTGTTCTTAACATTTTCTGCACTCGTTCTTCCTAAAGTTTGCATAAAGTGTTCCTAAAAGTGTTTGCATAAGGTGTTCCTAAAGTTGTGGCAAACAATGTTCCTAAAGTTGCTGTAAACAATGTTCCTAAAGTTGTTGCAAACAATGTTCCTAAAGTTGTGGCAAACAATGTTCCTAAAGTTGCTGCAAACAATGTTCCTAAAATTGTTGCAAACAATGTTCCTAAAGTTGTTGCAAACAATGTTCCTAAAGTTGTAGCAAACAATGTTCCTAAAGTTGTTTGCATACTTGCTTCACTGTTTTCTTCTTGTCAATTACTCTGCTTGGTGTTTTTGCTCTTAAAAATGCCTACAAACTGTTTGTGTTCATGTGTTTTCTGCAGGCTGTCAGTGTGAACCTTTTGTCAGATACTACCTTTAAGCTTTATGAGTTCCACTTCCCTAACATGTTTCTCATATATGTTAAAATAAATGATTACGCATTTATTAATGCGACTAAAAGAATAGGCAGGCATTGGGGCTGTTAGTTTTAAAATAAAGAGTATCAAAGTGGCTAAAAGAAAAAAGAAGGCATTGGGGTGGCTACTTAGTTAAAAAAAAAAAAAAAACTTGATAAATACAACACACCATTAGTACTTTATGGGTATAGACATAAGATTATAAAAAAAACAAAAAACAAAAACTGTTTTTTTATGTTAGTCCTTCGCATAAAGTGTGTGCCGCTGTGGTGTAGTGGCTAGATGCTAGCTTGTGGATGTGAACATCATGGGTTCAAGTCCAATGGGTACCAGGTAAAGTCCTAGAAGAAAAGGTAGCCGGCCTGCTGCCGACCTCACATCCACTGAGTGCTGATTAGTCTATAAAATATAGGTCTATATGTTTAATACATCTGAAATAGTGGAAAAGGGTCCTTTACTTTTAATTCACACATATAGTATGGTAATGTCTGCACAAAGAAGTGAGCTAACCAGCTGTTTTACTCACTGCCAGCATTTCAATAATGAATATTCCTGGCACCTCAGTTAGTTAGACTCCAGAGCAGTACCAATCAAGAACAAAGCTGCGGAGAACTAGTCTGAAGGCTAGCACAGTAATAACTACTTACTGCCTTACAACAGAACAACAACCATACACAGACATACATTTATGTTAATGTGCATGGGGTACAGGAATCTAGCATATTTGGGGCTAAAGAAAGGAGGTTTCTTTTTCTTCTTCTGCATTTGACCTTAAAAGGCCTTTGTGTTAAAGGGAAACAAAGAATGGTAACTCTAAACTATTCTACATCTCATGAGAAATCACTAAGGAATGGTGTTAGTAGAACCTAAGGAACCTATAGTGAGCTGCTTGGCACTGGCAGAATTTAACAGATGGTTGGCATGTTGTGTTGTGGTCTGCAGCTAGGCTGCAATTCTTTCAGCCTATTATATCCAATTTCAGCAAACTTGAAATTAGTTGGCTTTTACGATAGGTTTGTTAGCAAAGCAGTAGGTCTGGTTTATTCTGTTCTTCCTCCACAATGGGACCCTTGAATCTCTATGAGGGATTACCAGAACCAAGGAACATGATTGGACACCTGACAAATCTTCAACAATATCTGAACACACAGACAGGAGACAGGAAAATCCTACACAAAGAATTGGGAAATCCCATTTTATTTAGTAGCAGAACAGCCTTTCTCAGGAACATTTCAGTGCCATTTTATTTGTGTCACTTTTTGAAAAGATACACCCACCTGCTCCACAATTCCCATGTTTTATTTTCAACACCATTAAAAAATAAAAAATAAAATAATAGGGACAGTATCTGCCCATATGATCTTTCTGCCGGGAAATCAACATTACTAACTAGGACAAATTTAAGTGTACTGTGCAAAGGCCAATCATTATGATTACGGCAATAAAATAGCTTAAATATTACACTACAATGCCCTCTTTATCCCACAAACTCTTCAGAAGAACCTAGGGCAAAGAAGTATTCCTTTCATTCCAGATGACTGTCTCATTTTTTATGGTCCCTAACAAGAGGTTGTTAATGTTTCAAACGAAAGGAACGGAAAACGAAATATAACCTTTCATAACCTTGTCTAAAATGCAGTACAATTACTGAGTACAGCTTTCAAGCTGTTGTTTGGCTGACAATTTTAGAACCGTTGTGGCTGGCAATAAACGTTCCATAAAAAAAGTGGGGTGAGGGGGGGGGGGTGTGGGGGTGAGGCCCAGCTGTTAAACAGAGAAAGCCAGGCACTGTGGAGTCGGGAGAGTTGCACAGAAAGGGAGGGAACAGAACTAGTTAAGTTTGCCTGCCTGTAGCGGAATGTTTAGCTGCAGCAGAAATGTAGGGCGCTGTGTGTAGGGGCCGTAAAACAGTAAAAATATCGCATCTACCGCCTCTCTCCCCTTGCCTTAAGATATTAAGGCATAGACTACGTACGTATGTAGTTGCCAAATTTAGGCCAAGGTTGTAAGTGCCTAGGCTGTATAGCAACAAACGCCTCGTCGGCTTAGAGTGCTTGCAATGCTTCTTGTCGGTTCCCCGCTTCCCCTTCCCGGGACAAAATACAAACATGGTGGATCACATGACCGTGAATCAGGCCGAGTAGGTTTACACTCGAGACACGAGCTGGCAACAGAAAGTGTGTACTTGCTTGCCTGTTTACACGGCCTGCGTTAGCCAGTGCCAACAACGTTGCTGTTGCTAGTTCTGTGTCATTAACAGGACCAAGTCGTGGTGCTATCGGTAAACTTACTGGGGCCCCAACTCCCTTAGTTGGCATTAATTGTTAAATTCTTATTTGTCTCAGTGTTCGGCCTTAACAGGGCGGCTGACTTGTGTTGTGGTTTACATCTAGGCTGTTGGCCTAACATCCGTTTCAGCCACCACCCCACCCCTCCCCGACCCAACCCTTAATAACTGTCCCTTTACATCACGATTGTTAAATGAAAGTGTATCTATTAAAAATGACATAAAACTCAGGACAGTGACCTGTTAAATTAACCCTCTTTTTCCAGAGCCTGTTAGCGCGCCTAATGAGGTATTTCGTAAACGGTGCAAGTCATCTGTTTTCATAGACCACTGGGCACGCAATAGAGCGGGTATTGTTGACATCATATCTTTATTTAAAAAAAAAAAAATTTATGTTAACAATTTCTAAGACATTATTGTTTGCTCCAGTAAAATCTGATTTTATTTAAACAAAAAAAAAAAAAAAAAACCGCCTGGCTGAGGATTTGAATCTACGATCAGCAAGCCAGTTGGCAACTGTTCTGGCCACTGCACTATCTTGGCTCTAAACCCAGCCTATACTGGATGTTGGCGTAACAAACCCAACATATACTGGATGTTGGTGTAACAAACCCAGCCTATACTGGATGTTGGCGTAACAAACCCAGCTTATACTGGATGTTGATGTGACAAACCCAGCCTATACTGGATGTTGGCGTAACAAACCCAGCCTATACTAGATGTTGGCGTAACAAACCCAGCCTATACTGGATGTTGGCGTAACAAACCCAGCCTATACTGGATGTTGGCGTAACAAACCCAGCCTATACTGGATGTTGATGTGACAAACCCAGCCTATACTAGATGTTGGCGTAACAAACCCAGCCTATACTGGATGTCGGTGTAACAAACTCAGCCTATACTGGATGTTGGCGTAACAAACTCAGCCTATACTGGATGTTGGCGTAACAAACTCAGCCTATACTGGATGTTGGTGTAACAAACTCAGCCTATACTGGATGTTGATGTAACAAACCCAGACTATACTAGATGTTAGCGTAACAAACATACATAGCTCAACCTATAACTGATGTTAATATGGGAGACAATCCCAGATTAAATTAATTTAGCAAACAACTATACCAGATCTAAATATAGCAAATCCAGTCTATACTAGCTGACAATTTAACTTGTGAAAGCCTGAAAGCCGCAACAAGAAATAAATGTTTGGCCACATATCAACGTTATCTTGTCCTGTACCCGGCACGTTAAGCACTTGTTAACTGTGACGATCCAACAGATGGCTGGTTGATAGGCATGCATATAATCTCAGTGTCTGTTGTGATTAATATTCAAGACCCGCAAACAACTCACGCACACATTTTGGATAACGTATGTGAGGCACGACAAGCAATTAATATCGTCTTTCAAGGCATCAATGACAATCCCAGATATACTGGGTGAAGGCTTAATCATATTTTCACTGAGTGGAATGGATTCTGTGTAGCTCTGGCAACAAACCACAGGGACTTCCAAGAAAACTGCACTCGTAAACTGAACAACACGATGGTAAAACGAACCCACACTCTTTGTAGCGCAAGGTAAACAGCTTGACCACCTCGCCAGGTGGA